CACATCGGCGCGGTGACTGACAGCTGCACACTCTCCTCAAACACTGTGTTCATCCGCGCTGTGCCGTGTCGAGGGTGTTGAACTACAACCCACGTAAAGTTGATAATTCCGCGAATGACTGCAATTGCAGATTTCGAACAGAGATGGCGACAAAGAGGAAAAATGCCGGACTGCAGCTTTAAAAAGAGAATGAAATTCACATTAAAATAACCTCAGTTGCACTAGGATGTGTCTGATGACTCATTAGTGCATGGCTGACATAGGTTTCAAGACAAAAAAAAAAAAAAAAAAAAAAAAGTGACATACAACAATTTACATAACTAATAATTACACAACTGACAAAAGAAATACAACCTTACAGGGCCGAGGTTCACCACGGAGAAGTGATCACAAAGCTTGTTAGTCAAAAGCACACTTGCACACACACACCACCGTGTACTCATCACGCAACCAAAACACTTCAAAAGTGTTGCACGGCAACCGTAGGAGGAGCACCACCACCACCACAAGAGACCCTTCACCCGTGGAACCCCGGCGACTGAAAGAAAATAACAAAAACAAACTTAAAAACAGTTACAATAAATCACAATTTGATTACATCACTGTATGGTCACAGGAACAGGCAGTGATAAAGTCATATCAAATCACAAACAATATACAGATTTTAGTAGGCCTACAATAAAAAAAAAAGAGAAACAAATTAACTCAATTCAAATAATAGGGTAGACGAGCTTAACAGGAGCAACCGCGGGGTTATCTTCTCCTTATTTCACAAATTAGTGAATGTCAACCCCATAATACACTAAACTATAATTTAAAGAAACCAAACAGCGACAATCCCCCTGATTAATTGGACGATACGGCGTTCTCGCAGTATGGCAGCAGAGAAGCGAACGGGACTTCAACTATGGCAGAAACAAATCGCTCACGAGCGAGAGAGAGAATCCTAAGACAAATAGACACAGAAAACAATTACTAAAATGCATACATCACCTGCTAAAATTCTCAGCATACGGGCATGACAACACTCACCGAAAAATGGAAATGAGCTCTATTATCCCTTTACAGGCACGGGTATACGGTATTCATATAGCTGCCGTTCAGCGGAGAAACAGGAAATACTGAGAGGTTAGCGGTCTTAACATCCACTTAAAACAAGCCGAGGGAACCAGGGAGGAGAAAAGACAGGCTGTGTCCACTGTCAACAACAGAGAACGGGGAGGAGCCGGACGTGACGCATCCCAGGCCATAACCAACCAGCTCTTAAATAGTGGATACTCCCTGCTGATTGGTGCTCACAACCGTCAATCAACACCACTCATCTCATTCATTCGGTTACATGTTCATGGTTAAATGCTATTCTAATTTGCATTCCCGCTGAAAAACAAGCGTTCTAGCACGAAAATCTTGCCTATAAATAGTGTTGCGCGCCTTCTTATGAAATTCAAATGATCAACCTCTCCTCTATTTTGCTTGGGAACTAATGTGGTCGGAACCAAAGTTACTAGACTGCGTTCTCTGGAATCCTCTCAAACGGAGCACATCTACATTCCGATTGGTTGCCGCCAAGGGGGTAATCCATCAGCCGGAAGTTGAAGCCTCGCGGGAGCCGCCATTGTAGCAGACCATCACCTGCTGTTAGCATCCCATTGACTCCCATTCATTTTGGCGTCACTTTGACAGCGAATAACTTTACATCTGAGGCGTCCAAAGACTTAATTTGTCCATTATTTATTTCTAAAGAAACACGACAATGTATAAAATGTTCCATTACTTTGTATCTTACGTTACGGCCCCGTAGAAGCCGTTTTTTTAAAAATAGGCTAAAGATTGCGTCATAACCACGGGACTTTCTATCGCACAATAGAGACATTACCGTATAGACAGGAGGAGAAGCTCGCTGGCAATCTTTAACTGTCTATGAGGCAATCGGGGGGACATGGAGGCACAAAGTCAAGGTAGAAGCCCATAAATAGAGAGTCTATAAAAGCAATGGGACAAAATATTTCAACAACGTTTTTGAGGAATTAGGTGATTCAGATTTATCTTGGCACAGCTACTAGAAGATTTTCAACTGCCAGACTGTCGTCACGCTCAGTTTGAGCCTGCGCAGTCGCTCAGACATCAGACAGGAAGTGCAATAATCGGGCTTCAAGTCTTCTCCGTTGAAATCAATGGGGTCGCTCTGTCCATTTCTTTTACTGTCTATGGTTGCCGCCGGTTGCCGCCGAACCGCGTCATAGCTCATTTCCCTAAAGTTGAGCTGATTTCAACTTCTTCTCGCCGCTCCTCGCCGCTCTCACCGTCCAAGACGCGTCGCGCCGCCCTCGCCGGAGCTCGCCGCCGGCTCTCATTGAAAATGAATGACTTCCGGCCACTTTGACGCTCTCGCCGCCGGCGGTGTGAACGCACAGTAACCATTCAGAAATGTCCTGTTGCATTCTACATGTTATTCTTCTTGAGTCTCTCCATCATTGTCTGACTCTGGTTTGAACATAAAAGGCTAAAAGTTTTTGAAATTTTCAGTGCATGTCTGTGTGAGGTAAATGGACACAAGCTGTTGAAGCTCCGCCCTCAGCAGCTCATTTGCATCGAAAGTGACACACACAAAAACGGTGCGTTTTACTCACCCTCAAAAAGTGACAATTTTAACATATATAAAAATATCTGTGGGGTATTTTGAGCTAAAACTTCACATACACACTCTAGGGACATCAAAAAGTTATTCTACGTGTTTTGAAAAGGGCATTATACCACCCCTTTAAGTTACGATGCTTTTGGGAAACAGACCGCAATATAAAGATCAGTCGTACGATCGTTTTTACAAACTTTATAGGCTTAGGCTATGATGCTTTTGGGAAACGCAACCCTGGCCTGGACGTATCCTTACTTTATGATTTCAAAAGTTCTCAAATAAATCCATAATAACACATCAGAATATGTTCAATGAAAGCTGCCAACTCATTCAGCCACATCTGTTTTGTTCTTTCTGCACCAAAGCTTGCTTAATATCCTTTCAAGAGTGTGTTTGTTCAGAGCTACTCCATGCCGTTCCATTCCATTCTTAATAAGGCAAGAATTTCGTCATAAAACCATTTCAAATACTCCTCGATGTGTTCACCATTCATCCTATGTCGAGTCGCGTCAGATCAATGAATTTGCAAATAATAATTTCGATTTAGTTATGTAATAATTTCGACTTTTTAATCTCATAATTTCGATTTGGTATGTCATAATTTTGACTTTTTATGCATGATTGTTTTTTTCTTATGTGGCGGAAATGGGCAAAAATTGCATCTTAGGGTTACTGTCATGATGAGGTCATGTTTACTTTTAGCTTTCTTTGTATATTAGCTTGTATTTTCCAAATCAGTTTTCCTCAATATTCGACTGACCCTTGTGGGCTCCATAGCTCTGATAATATGTGGACAAACATTACATTGTCTTTTCATTCTGAAACCTAGCTATAAGTGTAATAATAAGTAAAATCAAAACATACAACAAAAGGTCCATGATTCTGCACCAGAAGTGACAGCAGCATATAAAGAGCAATCCTCCAAATCTGCAGTAATCAGCTGGATCCTTGGTGCATCTGGGGGTGAAAAGAGAAAGAGAGAAAGAAAGAAAGAAAGAAAGAAAGAAAGAAAGAAAGAAAGAAAGAAAGAAAGAAAGAAAGAAAGAAAGAAAGAAAGAAAGAAAGAAAGAAAGAGAAAAAGAAAGAAAGAAAGAAAGAGAGAAAGAAAGAGAGAAAGAAAGAAAGAGAGAGAACAGCACTCTCTTTCACTCTCATTACCCACAACTGAGGTGCTCTCTACAAATTAATATTAATGTGTTTAATAAAACAATAACAATTATCGACTTAATGACAGAGACACAGGCTTGCAAAAATCTACTCAACCAGCTTCATACAAAAACTCCACAGTAGATCCAACATTGTGGTTTTTATAGTATTCATGTCCTCTCTGCTGAACAAGTGTTCATGACAGTGTTTTTCATAATTCACAATAGGAGACATTTTATTTCACAATAACGATACATCACAATATATTTAATTTTACTATTTTGAAATAATAATGTTAGAATTTGACGTAGTGTGGAGGTCACCATTATGATGTCAAAGAGTCGTTGGATTTTGGTAACTTTACAACACAACCTAAAAACAACAAAATATCAACGTCAGCTGACGTCGGTATTGGACGCAAGTGGAAAAAAGGCATGTAGGCCTAATTTGCTTCTCAAAAACTTTCAGTTCCTCAGAAGAGATGAGAGGAAGATCACTGCATGCCAGACTGACTGAAGAGCCAATTGTTGCTGTTGTTTCTTCTATCCTGGTTTTCCATTCTTTTGTGACCAGACTGCAATATCATGCTCAAGCATTGCAATCCTAGGCTAACATAAAAAACAATGTAGGCCTATAGGATATGTAAATAATATCGTACATTATGCATTTTATTACAGGTCAGAATTTAAATGCTTAGGGTAGGGTCAGACTCAGGGTGTTCTACTACTGAACTACCAAAAAAAAGGTCTACTGCAGAATATATCTGAAACCACTAGATGACACCATTTCCTTAAATAATGATCAAGACCTACGACTACGCAATAACAGTCAAATGTAACTTTTAGAACAACGCTCAGATCCACTTTACAGTCGTTGTTCCCAATATTTTTAATGAAATTAATTTGAAATTTAATCTACAGAGCGAGTTTATTCGCGTAAACAATTCCTCATCTTAATGTATTACCAGTTGTCGAAAGCTTTATTTTATGACCATTTTCAGCTCTGTGTGTTTAATACTGCGCGTGCCACACTATGAGCTCGAGGCACGGTGACGTCAGCGCCGAAACACTGAACTAAACAAGCCATTTTCAGCAGCTTGAGCCCCTGTTGGAGTCCTCGGCCCTCCCAAACCACTTCTGATAGTTACCCAGCGTCTGATCCGAAGAGTTGAACGCCGTTCTTCGTCTGTGACCGCGTCTCTCTGAAAAGCATCGCACATAGACGAGCGCTCAAAATGTCTGTGAAGCCGGAGGCGGGTTCGGAGGGAAGCTGGTACGGGGATGATTTTGAGGAGATTGATCGCTTTGAGAGTACCACTACCGCCCGGCGTGATGACTTGGGAGAGGGGAGGCAGATGAGAGACTGGGAGGACGAGTCAAGTGAAGAGAAACAGTTTTCCAGCCATCCCGAAAGCGACCGGCAACCGCTCCCTGTTGTCATGGAGACTTCTTCCACAGGTAATGGGATTTTGATCTACACCGTCTTTTATGCAATGCTTTGAACAAGCTTAGTGCTTAACTTCTCTGTCGACCGGGGCCTTGTTATCAGGTAGCAGATACATTGGCTTATCGCTTTGTATGGGGTGGAAGTATGTTTTGCTAAAATGAGGTTGGGCATTAAGGAATTTAAGTGTTCTCGATTGTTTTAGCACTTTTGAGGAAGACATATCTGAGAATCCCATTTACTTGGCATTTACAGCCTTTAACAGTATGAGACCTTCATTTCAAATTTAAGCAGATCAGATATAACAAATAGGCTAAATAGCTACATTTATTTATTTTTTAAAGGTGTTAAACACAGACAATCAAACAATTAGTTATTTTTTAACCATGTAGGCTATTATATAAAATACCTAATAAACGAAATATCACGGACTATAATAAAATAGGCTAATGTGTAGGCATATCTTGTCCAATGAACAACCAGTCAGTAATTGATTTAAATCTCACGAGCTTTAAATCTCTTGTTTATTTCGAGTGGGACAAACATGATCATAATCATTTGCGGGTCAGTAAATGAGTCAGTTAATTTAGTGACTGCTTTAGTTGAGTAATTCACAAGTGTTTATGATTCTAAAAGAACAGTGTTCTGACAATATGCTATCTATAACAAAGTATACTATATTTTCATAGTGGTAGGTTTGGAGCTTAGTAAAGCCTAACACACACATAATCACACTTAATGAACATAATGCTGGTATTATTTCTCTGTGAAGATGTGCTACCTATAATTTTTTACACATTTCGTGTTGTCGTATTACATCTGACAGCTTATTTTGTGCCTCACGAAGCATACCACCCATATTTTCACTTGAAAAAAAAAAAACTTTTTGCACAGGTGGCACTTCCTGAGAAGGTAGCACACATCATCAGAAACATGTTTTATGAGGACTCATCATAGACATGATTTTATATTCTATCCCCTAACCCTAATCTTACCCCTAAACCTAACCCTTGCAAAAAAAAAACATTCTGCAAAATCATCATTTAGTATGACTTATAAGCTGTTTTCCTCAAGGGGAATGACATTTTGTCCCCATGACATCAAACATTTATTCACAAGAACAAAATATACTAGGCATATATTCATCCAATATCACAAAACCGAGGCCTCTGATTCTCCATAAATCTATACCTATAATCGTTTTTAAAATTACTGGTAAGTCATGAATGAGACCTATTTACTGTGTTTGTGAGGTGCTGTATAACTCACTCTTTTCCCCCTTCAACTATTTTTGTCTGTTGTTATTATTCCATTGTGTCCCAGCTGCTTTTCAGATCAGACACTTTGTAACCTTTACAGGCCCTTTACTGCATAGAGATCAATACTTGACATAATTTGAACATCTCACAGGCTTTGATCTGTGAAACTCGAAACTCTGTGTTATATGACATTATGCTAGGTAGTAGAGAAATAAAGTGAAGACAGAGCAATTCAGATTGTTTTTATTTTATCGAGATAAAATAGATTGTAGCTCCATTTCAATAAAGCCACAGTCTATAAATTGTCTCTACAACCAGATGAAAATATAAGACATAAGTAAGGGTAATACTATATGAGGTAGGATGTTTCCTTTTATCACGTTCTGCTCCGAGACACGAAGGTTGAGGATCCAAATGCAGTTTTATTGAAAGGATAATCCACAATCGTAGTTTAAAAACAGGCAAAGGTCATACACACCGGGTAATCAGTCCAAACAATAACAGGGTCATAGGGGTACAGGCAAAAACAGAGGAAACCAAGAAAACCGGACAGAAGCTCGAAAACCAAGATAAAGAAAACCAGGAGAATGCTTGGAATTGCAGTGTGACACTAAACAAGACTTCGCAGGGAATGACAGAAAGAACCAGGCTTATAGGGTGAGCAAACAAGAAGATGAGACACAGGTGAAAACAATGAGTGCTGATGAGTCCAATTAGAGAACCTTTGCTCCCATTTTCTTAAACCAGTCTTTGTTATGAAACTAAAGATGTTTTCTTTTTCAATTTTAGCTTTCTTTCTCTGTTTGATCTTAATGCTGTTGAGTGAGAGTGAGATGATTATGTAATAGTCTTTCTTGTGGGTATCACAGATAGATGGAGAGGTTATTATTGGGTAACACACAACACAAATAACCTAATTATGAGTTATAATACAGTCAGCTAAGGGGAAATGGTATTAGGTGGAAAAGAAAAAAATTAATCAAATCGTCAAATGATGCAGGAACAATAAAAGTGCTTTAATTGCAGTCTAATAACTCCTAATTTGTTTAACCAAACAAAAGGACATTTTAAACATTTGTCACTTTGATTCAGTCTTCAGTGAGGTTTCTTGTGGCCACCGTTGGAAATTCTCCTAACCTGTGCATGTAAACACTTATAGACTAAATCCCTGATAAATGAACTTAAATTAGTATCTTAAACGTTGTGAGTTTATTTATAGATGCATCATGAGTGAGTCACACAACATGTGTCTGAATCACCAGATTGACATTGGCAAGTGGATGAAAATCAGAGTCTTGTGGTAAAATCCTTCTCATCAGACTGAATCTCTCATTAGCTGAATGACAGCCTAACCCAGTGCTTATTGAACCACAATACTGACTCGTGATACTTGCCCTTTTGAAAACCAGTCATTAGATCACATTTCGAGCCCATTGTTAACCTGTTAAAATGTTGATTTTAACATGAAATGAACCTGATTGTTTGGGTGAGATCACTCCATTACACCTTTGACTTTTGATAAGACCGTTTTAGGTTAGAGTTTAACTGTGCATTTTTTTACATGAATAATTTAGTGGACAGACGTGAAACATAACCTTTGATAGAATGCATTTAATGTGAATATATCCTATTTTTGAGAACAGCTAGGTCAGAGGGTTTTTTATACTGTTAATATCCTGACTAAGACTAATTAAAATAAAAAAAACTTGGTTGATACCTAAAAACTTTTCGGGTTTTTCCTCTAGCATTTGCCTGTGTTTTGAGTATTTTTTGCACCTCAGGGTAGAGTCAGATTAAAACTAACTTGCTGAAGTTTGCTTCCTTGCAATGCAATTATTCTTAAGTCTTTCACCAAGAACATACAAAACTTGATAGTTTGATTCTGTGCTCAGTTTTCTCTAATAACAGTTCACCAGTACTGAACCATGGCTGGCTACAGAAAGAAGAGAGTGCCTTGCCATGGATGTTTCCTGGAATACTGGCAACACTGTTTGATTTTGGACATACAATTAGCAATTATACCATGTATAGGTTATTTACTGGAGAGACCCCACTGTGCTGTCAGTGGTACCACAATTATTCTCACTTCAGTGAGTCGTGATTCATTAGGGAAATTTGGAATGCAAGTTCCCTTTCTACTTCACACACATACTTCACACACATACAAAAAAGTGTTGTTGGTTGTGGTAGGCTATATTGGATAAACATCAAAAAGTGCTAAGAACTATAACAAGATTAAAATAATCTATTTTTCTTTTGTGGTAACACATGTGCTGCATTAGCCCTGCGACTTAGCACTTGCTGTCATGATTTTAAAAGGATTGCATTCTATATGATATGTTGATATTCTATCAACCCTCTACGCACAGTCGCACACCTTGGCAATAGAATCGCCATTGGATAAATCTTTTTAGTTTACTCGCCAGACTGATCAGCTTAAATTTGTAAAATGGCACACATTTTAAATATCTGAATGTACACTCTTAACATCAGTCAATCAAGCATATGATGATAAGCAACTTTAGTAATTATAACTAAAACTTGGTAACCATATGAATGCATATTTGTCATTTTAACTGAACTTAAGACTGGTGGTTGTGTTTACGATAATGTTGGTCATTCAGTGTTTCTGTAAAAAAAGAGATAATAGTAAAAGATAATAGTAATTATTATTAAAATATAATAATACTACTGCTGATTCTACTACTAATAATAACAATATACATACAATCCACTAAGGATTGATGAGCTGCTGGGTTCATGAATATTAATCACGTTGTCGGCGTTCGCTCGAACTGATTTGCTGAAATCAAAACAGGGATGTGTGTCAGCCAATAAGATCGCTCAATCACATTAGTTTCCTCCCACTACCGTAGAAACCGGCATATATTCTGCTTGTTCTTAAAAGCTGAATAATTCCAAATGAACTCTGTTATTTTGACAGGAAAATACAACAAAGAATATCGTTTACATGTAGGGCGTCGATTCTGTGTGGTATGTAAGGCTCTCTCGCTCTCTCTCTCTCTTTGCGTGTGTAATAAACAGTGCTCTCAGCAAAGCAACGGCGAGTCTAGTGTTTACGGTACATCAAATGTAGGCTACGCTTGGGCACAGATCGCTTGACAGAGCGAAACTCTCAAGCAATGATCAGTCAGTCAGAGTGTTCAACGAGTGAAAATATATCTATGCGAGACTTATACTTAGCCTCTTACACACACTGGCGAGTAAAATCTGAGAATTTATTAGCCAATGGCTAATGATAGACATTATTTAGTCGCCCAGAGTGAAGATTTAATCGCGTATGCGAGTGATTTACTCGCAATGTAGAGCGTTGTCTATTAATGGATTCAATTGTATTATATAGTATTATATGATATCCCCATAGATCATAAGCAGTGTCTCAGAACAAGCTGTTTGCAGATTGTTGCTTTTGTGACATCACAAATGCTTAGGCCCCAACCACGACTGCTGATGGACTCTGCCCTATTAGCATAGACCCCGCCCTGAGTGAGCTGTACACAGTTCGCCATGTTTATCTCCTTGCCAGAGCATTTAACAGTAGCATTCAAGTGAGAAATTAATTCTTATTAAAGCTACTAAAGCTTTCATTTTTTTCTGTTTTTCTTTTGTTTGATTCACATATTCACATATTATGCTGCTTTCACTTTAATACACAGAGCTAATATACTCTCACCTAAAGTATTATTAGGAACACCATACTAACTAATACTGTGTTTGACCCCCTTTTGCCTTCA